GGATCGTCCAACTGCGGGACACCATGGAGAAGGAAGACCCTCTTATTTTCCTCCACTGGTGCTTTCATTGGATCGGACTGTTGCTGCATTCGTTCCGTCCATGGCCTATCAGGGAAGATTCTTATTGGGCAGGAACTCTTCCTGAGAAGTTAACTAGAAAGAAGAAGAGTAATTCAGGGATGTTAGCTGTGATGTCAGAATGAATAAAACAAAGCTGCAAAGGAAACGGGGCTTGTACTGAGGGACAACACAATTGACTTTTGTAGTATGAAACTGGGATAGCATAATAGAATTAAAACACTACTTACGGTTATGAAGGTATCTATTCTCCACAGTTGCAGAAATTTTCTGGACGATCGCCGCGGCGGATCTCATATCCATCGATCTTATTCCATCTTATTCTGTATTAACAAGGGCACATAAACTGTTGTAAGTAAACTGTCGATATAGGTTGTGGACATGATCATTTCATAAAATGGAACGAACGGCTATCGAGCATGTCTTCTGAAATCAACTTCCCAGTTTGTAGGATGTTTTCTTTTTTGAACAAACGCTTGTATTGATTATCCACAGAATTAGCAAAGTAAGGAGTATTTTCATTGTGCGCAGCAGGAGGTAGGGTTAGCGAAATACCACAGTATTCGGGGTAGCGTGTGGCTTTGAGGTTTGTCTAATGAGAGGGCAACGATGCAACACTATTTTAATTTCTACATATAATCCGCTGGAAGAAAAAGTAAGGCCAAATTTCAGAGGCCCCGGGAACTTCAAATAAAATCATTTATATTTTCAATCTTTTTCTCCGCGGCCACTTCGCACAGATCCTTGATTGATCTTGGGGGGATTTCTTTAAATATTTAGTACTTCTATTCTCCCACATTCATTCTATGGCGTGCATTCATCTAAATTTCATGTGTACGAAGATGACAGTTCAACGAAGTCATGTTAGTAAAAAGAAGCCAAAGGAAGCCAAAGGAAGCCAGAAACAGACATATCGAATGGTGCAGTTTTCAAGGTTTTGCGTGTGGTTTCCAAACTACATGTATCAGTTAATTGGAAGAGCTATGAGGCTGCCACCTATCCAGAGGACTGAGTTGCATTTTGATGTGAGACGCATGAGATAGCTTATTTACCAACCACTGGTAAAGTTTGTAGGCAAAATACATCAAAACAACACACCAGAGTAAGCATACAATCGAGCAGCGAACAGCAAACCGTCTCAATTTCGCACGCTGATTAGATCATCAGAAAATTTAGTAAAATACCCTACTGCTCCTCAGTCCCCAGAAGAGGAAATTTAGACCTTTGTGACTTCCCCCACACCCACCCACCCACCCCAGCCGCTTCCTCGTTTCTCTCTAGTGATCGACTTTTCAACTGCATCCTGCTTCCTGTTAATGGGAAGTACCACAAAGAAGTACGAAAAATGGTTTATTCTATCTGTCTTTTTTAAGAACTCTCTGGTTTTCACATAAAAATCGTTCATCAGTAGATGAACTCTTACCTACTGTGCTGCATTGTTTACCCAAACGCTGCACCTATATGTGAGTGGAAGCGTGGTTTCGTGATCAACCCACGTGCATCTCCTTCACTACTTTTCCACCAGAAAAACAGCCCGACAATTTGAACGGAATTCGTGATGAAATCATACAATGTTATTACAACTGGAAATAATGGTTTTTAACCGGCAGTGACCAATCCGTTGTTGCGGAAACAGTTGACACTTCCGCAGTGAACTGGAGAACTCCAGGGTAATCGCCGGGACAAATCAAAACTACACATTGGTATCAATCGCACTTATGTTCCTATTTGTTTTTCGTCCTCGAATGAAGCACGTGCGTACCGCCCCTCGGCAAAACGAAATCCAGACGAAATCGCCGAGGAACATTCGGTTGTTTTTTGTTTGGTTTGTTTATCATTATCTACCACCCCAACCCCGCAAAGTTTTCCGATGATTGTATTACGCCTGTAGCTGTCTAACCGGGAAAACAGTGGTAATAAATTGGGGATATTTGTTTAGCACATAGCTCCAATGCTTAGGTCATATTCGGATTTATTTGATCTAGACAGAGTTTATTGTGTTTACGTGAGAAGAAAAAACGCGTGATTAACTAATTAATCTTTCTCACAACTATTCCCTCGAAAATTTCTCGGATCTGCCAACTACAGCAGTCTAAAAATATTTCTGGAATATTTCTGTCAGTCAACCGACCCTGAGACCGTGCAGCATTCTTAATGGATTCCACAGCACGAATGATAAGGCCTACTGAACAAGATGGACTAGATATGAGTATCTTGTAATCGAAACATATGATGAGTGAGAAATTCCTTTCTCGCATTCGTAACCTAAGGAGCATTTAAAGAGGCCACAATGAGAAAGAATTAAAGTTACAAACCGGGAAGTGAAAAAAATCGTAAGCCACATACGCGCCCTCTGAAAATCAATTAGAGGGTAATTGGAACCAGTGAGGTTTCCATGAGGAAACTATTGCTATAACTAATTGTTCTGGAGGGAAGGTGACAACAGTGCAGTGCGGACGTGTGTTTTTGCGTTTCTTGAGGAATCGACGGAAACATAAGAAATGTAATCATAGATAACAGTGGGCGAGGATATATTTTGTTGGAAATATGTGCTTTGTGAGTCTGTTTGAATGGGCGAGCTAGCAAAAGACAACGGGGTGTGGGTGATGGGCAAAAATCCATGTGTCATTCAGTTGACCATTAAGTCATATCCGAACGATCCACGCACGCAGTTGAAATCTTTGTCGAAGAATAAGGAGAACTCAATTGTGACTTTTCTGCTTGTCTTGTGAATTCTGTGTCCTCAACAAGAAAAGCACAGAGCTATGGTTGAGTCAACACAATAGACTGGTTACTGTCAAGTATACAAACTGCAAGTCGTTTTGAAGCATTGTCGTTTCAAATCACTCCTCTAAATTTTCAATAAAGTAACCGTGCATATGCTACGGGTCGATGTTGATTTATTGCAGGAGGTACAGGTCAAATTCATCTTTCAGTGATGCAGTTTTCAGTCCTCTGAATCTGTAAACAAATGAGATTTTTTGCTGGTAAGTTGGTCGACCGAAATGCAAATAAAAGCAGTGTATCGGTTTCTTGAACATTTTATGGTTTGATCACCGAGCAAACCTATCAGTCTCATGGTAGACTCCATTCAAAACCTTGTCTTACATTTATTGGATCCCGTTTCGAATCCTTCGGACGAACGTGCAACCCACTAAATAAAAAATATAAAGAAACATATATGACGGTGTCGCACATTTATTCATATACCACAGAAGTGACTTCTCTTTTACAGCTCTCAGACTGATACAATAGATTCAGGTGGTTCTAACAACACTGATAGTAAATCCTGTGCATGTTTCTCTTTGCAAAGCATCTTTCCCAATTTCACTGTAATAACCGGCGGACACTACTTTATTTCCCCTCGCTGGTGTGACCAACTCAAATTTTTATTATGGGTGATTTACAAAGCTGAAGGTTATCTAACCCCATGGGATCTGTACACACTGATTTCGGATTGCAGTACAAATGAAATAACAAAATAACCAACTGATACGCCCACTCATGAGTACAGAACTGTTAGGTGTTTCAATGCTTCATCGAAGCGCGGTGAATTCATGATTGGAGTACGAACCACTTGGGATGGAAGAGGGTTCTATGTACTAAATACTTTGAAGCCTGCAACTAACCAACTGTTTCAGACCAAAATTTAATGTGGTGACTCCTGGGTTCATCGTCCCTGAGCGGTGTCAGTAGACTACTACACGGGTGGTTGTCACTGCACATGATGTTTGCCGAGGCAGGTAGTGGATGGAAAAAGGTCAAGAGCGGTCAAACTAAGATCCGGAATGAGAGTATGAAAACCCCAACCAGGACACTAGGTCACACAGGTACCACTTAGCTACTTGAACCCCGAGATCGTGATAACCGAGCGTTGGAGACATTGACTAATATGGCTGGGTATCGCGTTCGTGAATCTATTCAATATTCTTGCAACCTCAGTGTGCCTGAATTCTCTATCTTCAGTTTGATTCTGTTGTCAACATTCCAATCATCATTCGGCTCCTTATCCAAATGGATACTCAAAAGACAGCAATTAAAACCGGCGTATGAAAATGCTTGGTTAATTCTTGTGAGAACTGAAAGTGAAACATGGGTGGTTGGTTTGATGCAGTATGTGATAAATTGAGCCAATTTTTCACCGTATTCGATGTTGTTGAGACCAACGAAGTTTGGAGGATTCGCCACATTTAAATTTTCTTCCGTATTGTCTATTTATGTGTTGCTTTTTTTCCGATCGGTCTCCATGACTTCTTTATTCGGTCAATATGCACCGGAATAGGTGACTCTCAGTCTCATTCGCGATCTTGCCTATCCTGAAGACACGTGATACGTGAAAACTCTCTTGTTCGCCTGATTTCTAACGATCATTTTTAATCAACCTCTCACACCTGATTTGAGCAACTACGTATTTTCTTTCTTAAGCATTCTTCATACATGTACCACGTTCCGGACTAAATGGAATGAATGTTAAGGTCTTTGGCCGAATGATCCATTCCAACTTTACCGAAAAAAATGTATCGCAATCCTGTTCACTGCGGGACCGATCGCCTGCGGTGAGAAATCAATACCATCTTTGTAGCTTAATGTCAACAAATGGTGAATTGCATTTTCGTTCAGCACTGTGCCACTGGCATCACATATTGGTCCTTACTATGATATTTCCATCCCGACGGGTTTGAACACTTACGCATGGAAAGTTTTATATAGTTTTTTCTCTCATGCAGCACTTCTCGTGTTGCATTTTGGACATACTTCGCCATATCACATGTCAATCTCCTTCGGGAAGCTCCACCCGCAGCTATCTATCTGAGAATTGCTGGCTTAATTTAGTTTTTTACTTTGGATCAATGTTCGCTCTTCCGAGAAAGATGGGAATTGAAACGTTGCACGTAAAGATCGTCGCCTAATTCTCGCAAGTGAATCTAATAAAATAATGCGGACCGTTTTGGAACCAAACACGGCGATACGGTAAAATCGATTCTCGCCCAGGGTCAGATTATTGAAATGGGTCATCGCTATGGTGCTCGCTGTGGCAGGTCGATGTGTTCGGCCGCAATAGTGAGTGAGACAATTTGGTTTAGCTGAATGGATTATTCTGTGAACGCAATTTAAGTAACTCGAGTGCATCAGACAATGTGCCGGATTCTGTCCAGCTACGTTTTGTGTTAGACAACACGAGTCGTGTGATGAAAATGCGGATAGATTAATATAAACACATAAATCATCGCTTCAAATCTTCACAATCGTCGTTTTCAATGATGCTCCTGTAACTGAAAATCTCATTTACCAAAAATAACCGGATCGGGGATGAAATGTAGTAGAAGAGAACACAAATCCCGAGTTTGGTTATGGTATGCTTGTCGAACTGGAAGTGTTGTTTGCAGACGTTTCGTAGCCAGGCTAGACAACATCATCAGTGCGTGAATAGCACTTCCAACTCGGAAAGCACACCAACATCCGCATTCCGAGCTACAACCATTCCGAATTATTTTCAACACCTAAATGTCTTTAACCGAAAACAAGTTTTCATCAACTGCCACAACCAAGAAAATACAGTTTATGAATAAATCTTTCAGATTAAAGTTCTTGAATCCCATAATAACGAGCTTTCATAAAGATCCGTACCAAATTGTTTCCATGTAACTATTAGCAATCTATCAGATATTTGCAACTGTCGGTGAAAAAGAACTTGAGGATAAGCAGCGGATATGGTTTTGAGCAAGGGGGCCCATTTGCTCTGCTTCTTTTCTCGAGAACCTCCGATCGATCTGCCTGTTTGTGGTATGTTATTAGTTCGATTTCAAATCTACCCCGAAACCTGAGTTAAGTCCTCTTTGTATTCTGAGAATGTCAATCTAAGTACGAGATGTAATACGGTTGAAATCACCTCAATCGTTTTTTGAGTTTATCTCTGAGTATTTGCCTAATTGGCTATTCTCATATAATAATATTTTGTTTCCGTTCAGCATTCAAGACGGATATCACGAGGGGAAGCGAAAGACTAAATCGGGTGGGTAACGGTTCTGAACAAAGGAACTGCTTTACTCCGGTAGCCCTAAACAAAGAGTCAACCACTTGTGTTTTGGAAACTCTTTCAAACCAAACGAAGTTATTTTAAAAGATCGGGAGACACTGTTTTGATTAAAGTAGATATTGTTTGGTCTTGGCAAAGGACACAGCCGTTCGATTCCTTTTGTCGGCCTCTGCATACACATATTCATGACAAATGTTCCTGTTGTTATTCTCAAATGATGGCGAATCATGTGTCTGTTCTACGTTTCTTTGCAACAGTGCTTTGAAGTATGTCGACGTGGACAGTGTGAACCAACGCACGGCACGCATTGTGAATGAATGGGATCGGTTGGGTCAGTTGTCTCAACGACGACGTGAAGGAATTCATGTAAGTATACAGTGTGCCGAGTTGCTAACAAGCACCCGTCGTGATGATCGCTAACACCCCCGTCACAAAAACAGTAGAAAAATAATCTGACAAATCAATGTGCCGTCATCACGACGGATTGTGATATTTTGTTTTTAGGATTCAAAATAACTTTTCGATTATGGATTTATGGAATACAACGAATACAGCTGAGGAGTATCACATCTTTCTGGTGCGTGCTTCAAAGATAATCAACAGACCCGGTAGTCATTTCATGTGTCTTCGTGTTTTGTGAATAAAAGGTGTTCAGAACGCATTCTATTAATAGGGCTAAGGAAATTCTTCCGTCTTTCTGAAAACAAAGTGAGGGTGTGTTGCGAACCTGCCAAAACACCATAAACTTTGCTGTTTTCGACCGAAAACGTCTAATTCCTGAAAAGTGTAATAGCATAATGATGTCAATGTTTTTAACTGTTTGGGTACCAGTTGTTCGTTTACAAATGAGAACAAGTATTGCATTCGGAAAACAAAAATGAACTGACTGCAACTGTTGAGCTGAAAGAAATGTCATGATGGCAAGCAGATCAAGGCAGTCTGAGTAAGATTATCAATGTATTTTTGGTTCAGAAAAAACATCAGTTTTCTAACGGGATCAAACCGTTTATCAGATGAAGGGAACAACCAATTGAAAGCGAAAACAAACAGATGGCATGTTGAGACTACACATCGGTAGTATTCAGTGTTGAATGTGTTTGTCTGTGTATATGTGTGGAGACATAAATGAAAGAAGACGGGGATCGAGATTCGGATAGCTGATGCAAATGCCGAATGAACGAGTGATCGAACGGATGGTAGTGCTCCCACACCTATCGTCACGTATAAGTGATAAAGTCATATTCAACAAATTATTATTTACATCACAAGCATGATCATTTTCGGTGTGTTCCAAACATGTGTAAATAATGCGTTGCTGTATTTGTACGATTTGGTTAAAACTACATACGTGTGGTTGGAAATCTGATAACTTCAAATTTGAGTGTAACGATTCGACCTTTGCGTAATAACTCCTTACGCCGAATGGTGGTGCGTATAAACTGTAGCAGTGACCACGTGTAAGTGCGATAATTAACGTTCAGCCAAACGCACATTGGATTCTTTATTTTATTCTCTCGTTAAAAGACAATGCACAGTTTACGCTGTAAGTGAACAACGAGTAATGCAGTTCCGTCCGGTAGCACTGTGTCCATTCATACAAAGGGATGATAGCCGTGCGAATTCCGAATAAAGCAGATATCGGTGTAAACCAAAGCAGTGATCATCATGACCTATTCTAGGTGTTTGCGATTGTAATTTAAAACGCTGATAATCCCGCCCGTCCCCGGGTTGCATTATGCGCATCACTGAAATTGCATTCACACTCTGCGCCAAACGATGCGTGACTATTTCCATTTCCACATTCTGCAGCCTGAACATCGTATTCATAAACCCATTTTTGTCTTAGGTATTTGATCTTCCCTTGTCTTACAATGTCCAACGGCATTATTCCTTTCCTCTTAAATATGTTAATATCACAAATCATACAGATTTGAATCAGGCACTATTCTTCTAAAACTAGTGGTCCATTGGTTTGTCCAACTGACCAGGTACTGTAATTGGAGCATCATAGCTCTGCCAATCTGAATGCAGGTGTGGATTAAAGAGTGAATACACTGTTCTGGTCATTAGTATCACTTAATTCCTATCTCTCTTGCGCGACTCACGCACTGGCAAGTATGTGCTGAGACAACATGAACGAGAATTCGCATTGACTCGCGCCAAACTGTTGACTTCGTAGGGGCGGGAGGGGGAAAGAACCGACCCCGACCATCACGTCGGGTCTTCCGTGGGAGCTGCCCAAGATTTATTTTATCCACCCTCGGTGGGAAGCACGTGGATATTCTTGTTTTGAAGTGTTGCAAAAGTGCATTCATTCTAATTACCGTCGCTTTTTATGGTTATTATTATTATTATTATTATTATTACTTTAAAATAGTATTTCTACTATTCTTAGCAAATCCAATGGAGGTAACTATATGTTTATTTATTTCTATCTTACAGAAAATCTTAGATGTGTTGAATCACATCGACCGATTACAAATGTCTTTTGCAAAACGAATTTCGGTAAGTTTGCCGATTGATTGGTTGAAACGGGTGGTACGTTTGTGCACGACATAAGTGTCTGTTTTATCTGTCCAGCACGTTGTAAATCAGACCCTAACCATTTACTGTGGTAATTAATTTTGATAGACAAATTCTCTCTCTCTATATATATGTATATATATATATATATAATATTTAACACACCTCTAAGTCCAGATTGCATGCCCAACAAATCATAGCACAATCTAATCCGGTACCGTGTAAATAAATACACTGTAATGTATCATAATTTCTACTGTAATAGGTTTTATCCTGTCACTATCCCAACTACTCCACTTCTCTCATTTCAAAGTACAGAGGCTACCGGTTTCGATAACCAAAGGCCAATCGCTTCAACCTGTGGGGCTTGCTCCTTCTAATAATCGTTACATTATGATAGGCAAAAATTAATTCGAAGCAACTTTCCCGTAATGAACTTGAATGAACTGAGAATTGCCCAATTTGTATCCGGATAGATTTCGTTGTATCTCATCACGTGCAAAAATGCAAATCATATAATATTCATGATCGCAATAAATAGAATAACATTACGGTCAATAAGTTCATAACTGCCATATTTTTCACTAATTGAACGCCAAGGTGACGAATAACTCCTTATTTGTCAGTTAACTGTGATCAGGAAAATTATACAATCTATACCATGCACCCGATGAGATACAGCGAAACATATCTGAGTAGAAATTGCGCTACGTAAACCTACTGTATTCTCTTTTCAAGAAAATTAATTCAGTATACATCCCAATACATTCAATCTGCGTATCATGGCTCGAAGTGTGGGAAAAGGTGGCGCATTTGAAAGATAAGTTTATTCCAGCATTCATCTTCACAATTCCAAAAGAATCCCCTCACTCTTTCTTATTTCAAAGCTGGCTGAACATAATTAGTTTATAGTCTAACGCTGTAATTTTGCAGATTAACAACTCCTGTTGCTCTAAGCAGTGCACCGCATCCAAGTCTGTTTGCCTTACTGCGGGCGAAAATTGATCCTGTCAGTAGGTACCAGACGAGCATCTCTAATCGGACAATCCGTCTGCTGGCAATCAGACCGTTCGACGCACCTCCGTGATGGTAACTCAGTCTTCTTCCAATTTCACCAATCACTGCGTTTGATTTGCGGACAGCGATTTTATTCAATTAAATTTGTCTAATGAAATGGTTACATTCATTTTTTGCTGAAGATCAATTATAGTTCAGCGAATTTGATGTTGGTTTGTTGCAAACCCATGTATTCCCGTTCCGTCTTATTTCGATGATATCTCTGAACTGAAAGATCCTCTGTTAGGATTTGTTTTGGGTTGATCGAAATGTTCTGTTTTCAGCTTCCAATTTCCAAGAACGTTTGGGCTATTTAAAATATGCCAAAAAAGGGGTTGGTTGTACTGACTGGAATAAGATATGGCATTCAAATCTACATCTGGAAAGTGCCACGATACTCCATTGTTTTAGCAGTCATTGGCCGTAGTAACTTTTTATAGTTTAGGCATTTGATGATATATATATATATATATATATATTTCACACGCGTCTGACTCCAAACTGTGCCAAACAAATCGTGGTACAGTAATCTTTATAAAAATAAAAATAGGCTCCGTGATTTGCATCTGGGCGGAATTCGGCCTGGTTGCGCAAACCAAGGCAGGTGCATTTTCCTGAGGAATCCACAACCAGGCTAGCCAAAGCCTGACCTGCAAGGCAGCGGGGCGGTGTGTGAAAACCGCAATCCATTGGGAGCCGGTGTCCAGTTCATCGGATCATACGCTCTTCGAAAGGGGTCAAACGTCCAAGGTCCCCAATACGCCTTGATGCCCAGTCGAACTGGTGACCAATGACACGACTGGCAAGGTGTGTGTGTGTGTGTGTGTGTGTGTGTGTGTGTGTGATTCATACGCCTCCTCTTGTTGGGTTTGGAATCAGTTGATTGCAGCTGAGCGTAAAGAATCAAATAGGAATGTCATCAAATTTAGAGGAAAAGAATTAACCATAACTACCTAAGTACCGATTATTGAACAACCTGTTGTCAGAAACTGTGAGAATGATTTAATTGCGTATCTTCGTTCCACGGAAAAGCTTCATTCAAAAAAACCACACATGGATTGGATCACGCAGGGGTGAGCAACAAGACCAACTCAAATCATACGACCACTCCTCATTACCAAATGGTATCGTTTGTCATTGTCAAATCGTCAGATTACGAGTAGTATCTATTGACAAGGCATCGAATTCATTGCACCAAATGTGCGGTCGTATCTTTTCGCGTTGAATTAGATGGATCTCATTTTTACAGTTTAAGACAGCCTAAATTATTCTTTAAATCATTGCAGGGTATCGTTGGCGCTGTAAGACATCCAGCTTTGCTAAGGCCAGTATTTGACAATTTTCAACCTAGACTATTTCGATCGTTTTTGATCAGCCACACATAGATTTTGCGATTTAAGCTTGACTGCAACACGATTATCACTCTTTAGAACCTCTACAAAGACTGGCCACCAAGATGGTCAAGGGACTGCATTCTAAAACTAGCGTTGAAAGACTTGAATCATTGGGGTCGTACTCCACACTCCACTTCGCTGATAATGAGGAGACTTGACTTTGTTGATGCAAGTGATTCAGAACTCGGATCATGCATGTCGTTCACTGTTCGGCCTGTCGCTCAACACACACTTCCCGGGGCACTCATTCAAATTAGTGCTCCTAAGCTGTCGAGTATGCATTATTTGAAATTCTCTACCACCCATCGTTGCTTCTTTACCAACAACTGAATCGTTCAAGCATAAAATGGGTGAATTATTGTCGGTGGTGCGAAACCGTTCTATCCGAAATAAAATAAAATAAACTTGTTTATTATTGGTATGATTTTGCAAACACGTAGTGGAAATGAAATGGGAAAATGTATGGGAGTAAATAATTCAAGATTTGGATAAATATATACTACTTTTTATGAAATATTCTATAAAGACGCTCAAATCACATTTGTTCCGGTTAGTAGCATCTAATCCGACTACATAACATCGACTCAAAGTATTGATTCTTCAATGGACTGGCTGTGAAAGATGACTATCCAGAAGTCACCCGGTGTCACAAACAAGGTTATTGTAACGAAAAAATACACTTCCTGGGTACAATTATCTGAATAAACTGTGGAAAGATTACCGGGGTACGCATGCCTGGCGAGCGGCGAGAACCGCGAAACCGATCGTGTGCTTCCAAGGAAATTTTGTATGGTCAATCGTATACTACTTATTATGAAATATATGCATGTAAACTTCTATAAAGTTCAGAATTACAACTGTCATTTGTCAGGTAAGATACGGATTTAATATTAAATAAAATATTTGAAAAGATATAATAGAATGAAATGAGCTATTTTCATAAAAAAAAATCGCTATTAAGTATGGTCGTCCAAGTAAATCTCCGATTTCGGGAGTGAGAATTTGAGGATTGGTAACAAATTTATAAGCCATTTTTAATTGCGACGGAATCTTGCCGCTAGATATGGTGATGGTCAACGTTGGACAGGAACGAAAAACCAAAGGAATGATCCCCAATTACGAAGATATTTGCGATTTACGATGGGTTAAGGATGGCAGCATCATTTTTCGAAAGGTGCACCGAGCCAATTTTGAAATGTATCTTTGGTAAATTTGAGCAATACCAAAAGGCTAGAAAAGCAAATTATCCCCCCGTTCCGACTTACCATGTCCTATCTTAAATTTCACCAATCGTCACAGTAAAGGAAACAAAGGAGATTTGTGACATTCTTTATCTCTCTATTATTCGTAAATTGATCCAGTTGTACTATGGATTTTATGGGTCCAAAAAAATTAACCGGTTGCATGTATTTCCCAATGATAATAACTTTGACTTTGATTTATTTTGCCACACAACTGAATCGGTACTGTTGCTTGCGTTTCTGTCCCTGTGTACCGTTTGTATTTTTCCTATTTTTTTATCACCCCTCCCTCACTCTCCCCTTACCCTCATCCTCATCTACCTGTCTGTTTTAGACATTTAATAACTGGTTGGAACAAGCCAACGAGGACTTGCAAGATATGTTCATTGTGAATAAAGTGGAAGACATCATGGTGAGTGTTGACTGGTCTCACGAATGCGGCNGCGGCCCCCCCCCCCTATATTATTTGCCCATTGAATCAGAAGAAAAGACAGAATCAGTATGGATTGTACCAAAGCCAGGCTTGAATAACCCGACGAATCATAGATAGCAAACGGTACATCACTATTCTACATCCTGTTCCCTATAACCGACTGTCATTCGTTGATCCGGTCTGAAATTTTAGTACCTCTTGTGGGTTGACTTCGTCTGAGGCGAGATCATCCATTGACCTGTAGCGTTGGAAGCCAAGTGCTGACAACTCCATTTAGTTGACATACCTAACGTCCTGTGCAAGTTGAACTACCCCCCCCCCGCCGAAATGCACGGATCAGGTTGTCTTTTAAAACATCCACGGTCCCGATTGTGGGCTGCTATCGTTTTACCCCATATGGCGGCCGTGATTGAAGCGGTGTACACGTGTGTGTGTGTGGCTGCGGTAACCAGTGCCCATCGAAACAGTAAATGAAGCTAGTTGCATCGTCCATCTAGGTGGTACTGTTGACGGTAGTGGTTTTTAGTCCTTGCAGAGGGAGTTGTTTATTGCGACGTCATGCGATGAGACCACGGTGCACGGAACAAGTACCCGTTGTGAGCGCCAGTACCAAGCTGCTTAGATCATTCTATATGGACAACATTTACTTTTTCGTCAGTTCGGTTGATCCAGTGGAACTCGATTTATCCCATCCATTTAGATTCGTAGCTTTCGGAAAAATATGGGCGCCCAATGATGAGGTATAATCACAGAAAAAGGAACAAACTGAGCTTCTCGAACACTCATCGGCGGTGGTTTTACAGCTCCTTTCTCCGATGAATAGCGCACGACAAAAAGAAACTGGTTAAAACATCCTGTACGTTATAATGAAAAAACACTTTCCCCTTCTCGTTTTTCACGTTTCCTAATCTTGTGCTTCGTTTATCCTTTCGCAAAATAGTACACTGACTATTTTCAATCTGACGAACGAGAACCAAAACGCATTAAACACGAGACCCACAGAACCAAATTCATACAATTTTCTGGCATTGGCCTGTGTAAATGCACCGGTTCCAGCATCGTTCACGTGTAGAACAAAAATCACGTTAATCGCGCAGTTTTAAAAGTTCAACTGTCATAAGAGTATCTGTTGTCTGGCTCTCTCTCTCAATATGTCAGCAGCATTAAAATCAGATGGGCACAGTCGAATGTGACAGGAGCAAGGATAAACGAGGATCATGTGTTACTGTCTCAAGGCGCGCACACACACACACGCACGCACACACAGGCGTATTAGTGTGTACACACCGGTGCCACATACTGCTTCCTTGCTTGCCTCCCTAACCAAACACCTCGAACGGATTTTACTTATGGAAATGGGAAATGATCACTTTACTGGTTGATATTTCATTCCGATTTTAGTTCTGTTCATCATGCACTATGCGTTATTTTGACGAATTCAACCATGGACGGTTCGACTGAGTGTGACTTACATGATTAAAAATGGAGTGAATTAAAAAGCAATTAAATGGTGGAATATTCGTACTGGCACACCACCGTGTACTGCTGACTGTTACTGCGAGTGCGTGAGAACGCCAACAACCAAATGGCGTAACACTGGCAAAGCACACCCAGTTTTTCAAGCTCATCTCTGTACACCCAATAGCCTTCTTTGAGTTTCAGTTTCAGTTACATTTTGTTTAACCATTAACCATGCACTTTCTTGCGGCGGTTTTGGTTGCTGTTTTTTGTCTGTCCTTTTGGATGAAGCAGTAGGATAAAGGCAAGAAAGTTGAAAGTAGAGTCGAACAGAAAATGGAGAATATATATGGATATATTTAACACCGGCTTGTAGACTAGCATGATGCCAACGCTACAACAATATTAAAAATAACAATAATGGGGGATAGGTGGCTCGGGGTACAGAACAGATTGGAAAGAGAAGGAAATAGTTAAACACGGGAAAATAGAAGATAACTGAGATAACAAAATGTTTTGTGTGTTTTACCGTATAATTTTTGATACTTTCGGTATTGTTTGTTACGGGGCACGAGATTTTGACAGGCAGACTTTACAGCATTCGCGCCACTGACTTCTATTCTGGACCATGTCTCTCAAAGTCACTAACCAACGACGATCCTCACCTCTTGGGCCCCAACCTGGAAGGCGGGCTGCACCCACGGAAGCCAAAGCTGAAGCCAGCTTCTTTATGCCTCTAAACTATGTCATGGTCTGACCACCGCGCCGCTTCTTCCAACCTTGCCCGGCACGTACGAAGAGAGCACGGAAAGGTAGTCCATGGGCAGGTATACGCAATACGTGACCAAGCCATCAGAGGCGGTGTAGAGCGATTACTTCCGTTAGAGCACGACTGCCCGCACCCAACACACGGCGATGAACTTCGTCACTACTCACCCGGTGTTCCAACCAGACGCGAGCAATGATTCGGCGACATCGGTGGTCAAATACAGAGAGTCGATTAGCATCCTCCGCTCGGATGGGCCAGGTCTCGCAATGGTAAAGGAGAACGCCACAAACCGCAGCGATGTATACCCCACCTTTAAGGGACATTCGGATGTCATGTCGGCGCCACAGGTGTCGCAGGTTGGCGAAATCTGCTCTAGCTTTCGCTGTTCGTGATGTGATCTCCTCGTCAACACCCGCACCATTTGCGATCAAGCTCCCGAGGTAATTAAAGCTCTCAACTACTTCTAACGAATCACCAAAGCGGGTGAGTGCAGGTACAGGCTCCTGCCAGTCTTGAACAAGCCCTTTGCGCTTGGAAGGTGCAAAGCACATACCATATCTGGATACGCCAATCGCCAAGCGGTTGAAAGCGTCTTGAACTGCCTCTGTATCGTCATTCAGCAAGGCGATGGGTCTAATGTTGCAAAGAAATTGAGATGAACGAACTTCACTGTTTATGACGTTCAACCATATCATTCGATGTCTCTAACCATCGGTTACGATTATCCTTCCTCCAGCAAGCACGCGTAACAATAAGGCAACATGTCTATCTGGTAAATGCTTATTGGAGGAGATGGAAAATGTCGACTTTGGAATACAGGAACACCTAATATTGGTTAACCAGGAAATAATAGCACTCCATCTACTGTATGCCACACGGGAACAGTTCACGCGTCACAATCAGTCTGATCTTACACCCGAACGAGTTTCTTTTTATCGACCACATTTTCACTCTTTGCAAAATTCCGGAATGATTACATTCTTTTCGCTACCATTTCTGTCTTTATCGATCTGAGAGCGATTTGTCGCGCAAGCGATCGTTGTAAATTCCGGCACTGCCCTTCCGCGAGGAGTGTGGCTGCGAAGTTTATTTCAATAAGACAACCCCTTTATACCAGTATCTGAAGCCGAGTCCGAGCTTTCTGCACGTTTTTGTTCGAGTTCACTATGGAAACCGGTGTTCAGAAGGATTGCTCCCTCTCTCTCCGTTTCTATTTAACGTTGTCATAGATAGAACAATACTGAGTTTAGGATCATGGTTTTGAATAACCGCGGTATCCCACTTGGAGTAAGTGATCGACCTCCACGGATTACGTTGGTTGGGGCATGTGTTAGGCATGTCACCTAGTAGGTTACCACTGTGTGCGCTGTTTGTCGAGGCAAGTGCTAAATGAAAAGCAGCCAAGGTTGGTCCAACCACGATCTGGATGGAGGATGTGTGTAAACCCTGACCAGGATACTCGCCCATTTAGGTCGCGTTAGTCTTCCTGTATAAGGACCCCGGGATAATTGTGCCCGGTAGTTAGAGACACTGACTGACATGTCTGTGTCGCAAATATTGACGCTCGTACATCTACTGATTTACCACGCAACCCTATTCTACCGGAATTTTTCACTTTCTGTTTTCAACTTTCAAATCCTCCTTCTACCCCTTCTCGGAAATGAGGCAGCAAAAAACAGAAAACGATACATTCATATGAAATTGTATGGGTCAAGGTTGTTCAAATTTCACTGGAACTAATTCAAGAGGAAGTTCATCTGCGTTACCCTTTTTTTTCTGAACGCACTCTTCTATGGTGCAATATAATGTTTTTTTCTGAGTTTTGAACAATTACGATTAATTCATCAAGTCAGGCACCGAGATGGACATTCACCGGTAGCTTCATTAATCCCGTGGTATTATTTGGCTTTCAAATTCCACGTCATGTGGGTGCATTTTAATTTTACAAGAAAAAACCATCGGTATAGCCGATTATTTTATTCTCTAATAAAATGTGTTCGAAATTTTTAGTTAGACAGGGGATCATTTTTGACCGGAAGATAATTCGAAATTCAGACAGACAACATGTGATTGAAATCGAGATCTGTCGGATCGTGTTGAACATATGCCGAGGTTGACCACACCAACGAATCAGGCTGTCTTTTGTGATTCACATGTGAATGTTTTCTAGATGATATTTTTTTTAATCAACTCTGATTCATTCAGCCGACCAGGTCACTATCCATATAACAAGTGAATTAAAATTTCCATCTGGTCTGACTTATGTGCGTAAATCGGAATTTATCGAGAACAGCTGCAAACTGTATTGTTCATCAATGTAGAACTAAAAAATCAAACAGACAATTAGACAGACAGATTATATTCCATCTGTTTCGATTTCACTTTCGTGTAGCACAACACAGCCGCACACTCAGTGCTAATAATTTGTTGTACAGGCGTTGTACATGGAAGGGGACTGCGGTCAATGAGAGTAGTTGTAGACTTGGAACGATGGTGCATATTCCTCTTGTTCAAAGTATTTTATCCCTCTACTGATGCGAAATTCCGAACCACCTACCGACTGTAGCTCTGTCCAGGTCTATGCCCGTTTTGGGTAGCTTTCAGTTGCATCCGACGGGGATTTTTATGCACTGTTCTCAGTTAACATCGATCATCATTTGCTTTGCTAAATTGTGATATCCAAGCGAATTTGTCTGTGCCCCCGAGCGTGTTTTTCAAATAACCTCTCAATCAAAGTGATGTTAGGAAGCGGCCTAGTCTGATTTAATCCACGCTTTCTCTGTGAACTGTTTCATTGAGGCAACGGAATTCAATTCAATCCGGTCTCGGCAAAACTGACGAGGATGCATCCAAATGTGCTACCCGTTAGTTGAATCTTTTCACTACAGATGCACCTGAAGACTGTTTGAGTAAATATAACTTTTGTAAATATAAAAGAATAGCAATAAGGTCAGATCGTATCACTGGTTTGCGAAGTATTCCTATTCATATTCTTGTTAAACACACAAACTGAGGTCTGTGAAGAAGAACAAATTTTATTCCAACTTTACTCCTGGGCAATCATCTATTTTCCTTGAGCTCAGAGTAATCCGTAATAGATGTCTGTTTTTGTTCCTGCCTCGCTTTGATTCATTCGAGTGCGTCCTTATGACATTGGAGAAACTGAAGTCAGTGCAAATACGGAGAAATGCATTAATGCTGTCACAAAACTCAGTAACTTAAATTAACGTATCTGTAGCTAACTTAATCAATAATACAATGGCGAATGATATTCATTAGGTGATGAAATATTCAGCAGTATATATTTTCAAGATAATCAAAATGAAGCACGAGAAAATATTCATTCAAATTCATCTTAAGTCAAGTAAGTTGTTTCGAATTTAAAAATTTCGAAAACATCATTACAGTTTAAAACACAAATAATATTTGAATTTTATTGTTGTTGCAGTATTTTTCACTTTCCATTTTCGGTCGTGTATTGATGAACATTTGCACAGTAACCAACGTCAACTGCGTACACAAGTCCCTGAATCCTGTCACAGTTCTTATCCATCGTCCGTATTGCATACACTTGTATCATAGTTGACTGAACACTTTGTTATGTCGTTATTGATGCAATTTAAACATAATGATTGCACCAGCCTCACAGTGAATAATTATAAGAACAGAGTGCCCTAATTTGTTTCAACTATTTTGCAAAACCGTATGTGTTGCAGCTCTGCTACAGACCACCTTCGATGCAAATAACTGGTTCGCACTGATTCAGGCTATACTCTCGATTATGCACCAGAATATAAGCACATTTGATCGCCTGCTTTGAACTCAGTATTCATTACGTTTTGCCGAGGGTTTTTAAGCGAAACAGTTCCAGTGGGCCCGACAACTACCTGGACGCAATCGCTCGCTTTGATTCTATTAAGGTGTATCCGCTTCGCGGTTTTGGGAAGAAACACACGTCTATGTGTCTTGTCCACGGTGTGCTATGATTGAGGAAGAAAAACTTATAGTTCACAGTGTCCTTATCTAATTGCATCACATCAATGATATATCATGCGTTGCACTATTTACTGCCCCCCCCCCTCTGAAACCAATTTAACAGGCTCTACTGAACGGGCACGAAAACTTCAAAAAGACTTTGCCGACTGCCGAGAAAGAATTGCGTGAAATGCTATCCGAGGCGCGCCAAGTGCAAGAATTGATTCAAATCCATAACTTATCCCCACAGCTTGCAGTCAATCCGTACACTTATGTGGACTATCAGGTAAAAAAAACCTAGCGGACTCTGGTTGTTTCTTTGGCGCGTCAGTATGCTTAAAGTATTTTGCTCGTCTTATGAACCGATTGTGTCACAATGTTTCTGTTTCTCGTCTTCCGCACCAAACACATTCACCCCTGCAATTGTGCGTTATGCGGAGATGCGAATCGATCGAAAGTTCTTTCTCCGTTTTTGATCACCCGCTTATCTATTCCAAACGACCGAATCTGAACACTTTCGCATGGTACCAATCGGAAGGTGTCTGGAATTCGAAATGGTGCTCTCTGTATCTATCACCCTTATCACTGACAGATTAATTCCATGCAGTTCGGCTGATCGCCAGCCAGTCTAGTACTCTGGTGTCCGTGTGGTTTGATGGCTTGTGCACCTTTGTGACCCAACGAGCTACACAGGATGGCTTTTGTCAAGCCGAAGATCTAATCATGCCCGGAAGATCGAACGGTAGAGGTCAGACGAAGTTCAGTCTCCTGGTCCTTCAGGTTGGGGTTCGATTAGCATTCGCGTTTCAGTAGGTAAAATGGTGGAGGAATAATTGAATCAAGTAAATGGACCTCCACTTCGCTTCACTCGCTGCCTTGCAGTTGGGTTCTAAGTCAAAACTAAAGGCTTTGGTTGAGAATCCGAATCGTTCTCCTGCTTAGTGACTGGACATCCTGGCAGTACCCGTCAATCAAACCGCAGTGCATATGCATTGCGAGTTTGGCAGCGATCAGTGAAGTTCGCTTCTCTGTATTTCGCTGTACGATGATGCCGATGATAACCACTAACTTTCGAGAACTACTCTGGGCTCGAAACCGATAAAAACTGCTGGGTTGTTTTTTTTAATTCAACCAATAGGAGAAAACACTGTTTAATGCAATATCAAAGTGGTGGCCATGAGACAAATACCTTGAACTGCAAGCAACGGTCGAAGGTTTCCCAAGGGTCCTAATTTTGGATCCCAGTGCAAACCATGAGAATTTCTCAGCTGAAAGGATCCATCCATTTTGTTCATTGCATCGTAGTTCAAGCTTTATGCAGACAGAGTATTCGACTTTCAGTTACGGAGATACTCCAAGCCGAAAACACGGCACACAATTGGTCATTGATGATATCCCTTTTATTTATGAAGTCCATATGCTTTCGGGAACATCTCCAGTTTTCCTAAAATCATCCCGAGTGAATTATGCACCTAGTGAGAAACATTTCAATTCCGCTTCTGATCCATTTAGAATGATAACATTCACGTATAAACAAAAGGAAGAGGGTGTCATTGTGTTAGTTGGACTGACACTAATCCGCTTGACAGTAGTGCTAGGTAAACGAGATGGTCGGTTACGTTCTCAATACAAACTAACTGAAAGAGTTAACTATATCAACTTTGTGTATGTAGATGAGTTGTTCCTGTTCATACAGCACAATTCCCACTGTTCATGACTCGGAAAGGAGTCATTCGCTTGAATGAATGACCCTCCCCTGAATAGTATAAAAAGTTATTAGATATTCGAAAAATCGTACAACTCGTGAACAAAATACATTAGTCAAAGGCTTGAATTCTATACACCTCTGTCTTTTATTGAGGCATCCATGATCTGTGCTTTGTCATCCCAGTGTCCACGTGCGTGGAACGCATCGGTAAGTCTCTGCCACCCCTAGCGTTACGTGTTAGTGCATCCGATGTCAGCCATGTTTAACTCATCAATCTACCCAAGTAGGTTGTGTTGGACCAGTTCAAGTGTGTGCGAGTTCACCAATGATTTTCAAATCTATTTTGCATGTTCTTTGTTGCCAGGTGGTTTTTTGAGGACTGGTGGTAGATTTTGCCGTTTTTCCTTTCCAGTAAAATGTAACCACAGTTTTTAACTTTAAGATCGTCTTGCAGAAAACGTTGAAGCACCAAACTCATGGAAAGGCACACAAAGTTTATTTGATGCTTATCTGATGCGCCCATGTCCCATCCTCCAGGGTGTCGCTAGCACATTTTTTAGCTGTTGCCCAAATGAACTTCGAGTATGAATCCAATAGCTTCTCTCTGCACTAATTATGCCTAGTAGTAACTGTCTTGCAGACTGATAATTGTTGTCACATTGTTGTATCGAATCCGAAACGAAACGAATCATTGATCGTTACCTGGATGAGCCTGCGATCTCAGGATTCAAACTATACATTGTGTGTTAGCTATGGAATAAACCATTGTCCCGATTGCATAGCTATTTAGTTTAGAAAGTTTAAAACCAAGTTATTATGTCCCAACTAGTTCGATGATTTGCGATCACTCGAATTTCATAAGCACAACTTATATCCCACAAACTTAAGAGATATCTCTATAATAGGCAGAATGCAACCAGCTTGTCCATAGAATGTTTTTCTTCAGACCATGACTGATTACCATGGATTTGTGCGTTAAATGCAAGCACTGAACAGACAAGCGACCTTAAATATAGACCCAATAATTATGATAACCGGTCAGGCTAAATCGGGCCACTTTTGTATGGTTCGAATTTGCCTCAATCCTCAGTTCGGGTTAATCGAATTCTGCCCACTGATGGATGCTATAGACTTTTCACAATTCTAACAGGGTATCGCAATCGGTGCTCAACTCCACAAAGTATTATCCTCACATATACACTGAACTTTCAGCGAATCTTCTTCGTTGAGATATTGAATCAGTCCTTTATGCCCGAATCATTAGTTAATATTAACCAAGTATTCCGAAATAGTTTTTGCAAATGTTTGGTTTGTAGGAAATTAGTTCCTGACCGGATCTTATGGCTTGATATACCTGGACAGTATTTAAATTTTCTGGTTAAACGATTCCACATCAAAGTTGAGTATTTTCGGTACAATGTGATTCGGGTAAACTTTATGACCCGAAAATGTGTCCATTTGTGTGTACATCTCTTTCACTGGTGCTCAGCAATCTTCCCTTCATGCGATTTTGTTTGTGCTGTTTTTTGAAATAGTTTTTGATGATTTCCGAACTTATCTCGAAGAATCTAGCGCTGAAAGGAAATAAAGCTTTTAAAAGCTCTGTTGCTCGCCACATATTAGACTGCAACTTGTGTGTGGAGCCTAACAAGTCCTTTAGGATCATAAGTAGACAACAACACCATCGTCTACTTCAGTTTGCTGAAGCCTCCAACATTCGACAGCATTAAACCCGATTTGTGTAAACAATTAGACTTTGTGGCCAGTCTTGCCCTGCTCTGGTAGGACTGAACCCCGTCATGTGTTCACTCCCCGTGATTGACTGTGTGACCCTTGCCCGTGTCCTGTGAGTGACCCAATTGGTGTGTTCATTTGTCCGATAACCTATCATGTCCTTGTTGTTGTTTAACCTTGATTGCCATTGTACGTATGCAGCTGATTGAGAGTACCCGAAATAACTGAATTCATGCTATCCTGCTAAAGTGTGGTTCTTCCTCGCCGTGACGAAAGTTGTACTTGAATTCAACAATTTCCCTACCCGGTTATTTTGAACATAATCTGTGAATCTAGTTTGGTAGATGTAGTGTTCTTGTAGACACAGATACTGGATAATTGTTTCTGTGGTGTCTGTGTTTGTCGTGTGTGAACCCCGGCCTCAGTATTGTATTGCACCATCATATTATCTATCTCACTCCTCTCTCCCCATCCACCAACACCGCCCGTCCTCAACCGCCTTCTTGACCGCGTTGCCCAGACATTGGAATCCAGATGGGATGCAATGTGCAAGCTGATTGGACCGCGTGATCAGGAGCTGCGTGCGGAATTGGCACGACAAGAACAGCATGAACAATTACGCAGACAATTTGCACAACTGGCCAATCGGGCCGGGCCGCATTTGGAACGGTTGTTGGACGCAGTTCACGCGGTTCTGAGCACGCCGAAAGTCGCCTTGGAAGAACAGTTACGCCAGCTCCAGAAATTGGAAGAGGACGCAGAGAACTGGAGACCGAATTTAGCCGAACTGGAACGATGCTTCCAGGTGAGTCATCTTTTTGCGCCCTGTGTGGATCATCCATATTTTTTTATCCAATTGAAATTTTAGAAAATTTAAAGTTGGAGATAATGAAAGATAAATAACAGGTTCATCACTTTGATCAAAATATGATGAAAAATCAAATAATTGCTCACTATGAATTGGCTTTCAATCAGTGAAAGTTTGTTCCAAACACACTGCAAAACTGACAATAAAATGCTGTTCCACAAGCGAGGTCAATGATTTAAACAAACCAGCGATCCATCTGAAAATCGCACATGTCAGCAGACATTGTTCTTGCACTGTTTATCCGAATACATAGACACCAGGTTTTTTTGTATTATCTGTCTCTTACTGCTCACTACTGAAAAACAGTACTCGGTCCATTAAATCCGACGTTCTCCATGATTTTGGTCAGAACGAGAGAGGCAGTTCGTGTTTGTTTGCTCACAGCGGTCTGATTTGGGTTGGTTGATTCGCTGTCAACACACAGCGGACGGGCGGTGCACAGGCCTGACGGCCAATGCGATCAGTGCGACAGAAACGTTCACCTCATAAAAGCAATGTGCATTTCTAATGTGCATGTGTGCAATGCCTGGAATTGTCTATGGCTGCGTCTTGACTAATTAGTATGGCGCGATAACCAAAACGGAAGTCAAGATTTTTTTCAACGAAACTCCCCAGGTACGGACTACTTGGTGTTTGTGTTGGTGTGTTCTCCGAGCACAAGTGCAAAACGTTACTGAAAGACTGGGTTGGTCCAGCACACGGTTTCACTCGAACTGGGGAAGTAATAGAGCAAATGGGTGAGTTTTGTTATTTGGGCAGCTACATCTCACCCGATCGACGAATCACGGATGAAGTGTCAGCTCGCATACAGAAGGCTCGGTTGATATTTGCTAACTTTGGGCATCTGTGGTGCCGTCGCGACATCCGGCTGTCCGTGAAGGGTCGATTGTATGCCTCGGCAGTTTGGCCAGTTCTGCTATACGCCACAGAAACTTGGCCATTAAAGAAACAGGACAAAGATAAACTATTGGTGATTGAATACCGCTATCTACGCGGCATTGAACGAATCTGATGGGGCAGCTGGACAAGCAATGCTGAGATTACACGCAGAGTTCTGGTTAACCGCGGTCGTCCACTGAAGCAAGTGGTCATCAAATAGGTTGCCACGGCGAGCGATGTTTGCCGAGGTAGTTAGTGGGTGGAATAAAGCCCAGGATGGTCAAGCTACGACCTGGCACGAGTGTATGAAATTCCTAACCAGAGGACTGGGTCACATAGATCCCGTTAGGCTCCCTGGCTGATACCTCGAGAGGATCGTACCTGATGATTAGAGACACTGAGTGATATGTTTGAGTGTCGTAAACAGTGGCGTTTGTGCATCTGCTCACTTTTTTTGCAACATTAGACCACTGAAATTCTTCGTTTTCTTTTCAAATCTATTTTCAACCTTCCTGACTTCCTATATTGTTCATCCGAATGGACAGTCAAAAGACAGTAACCAAAACCGCCCTACGAAGGTGCATGGTTAATGGTTGTACAAACTGAACTGAATTGAACTGTCCTCCGGGTTGGAAGTGTTATTCGCAGATGTTTCGTAGCCAGGTGAGGCAACATCATCAGTACAACTTCCTGGAGTGGATGATGTTCCCTAGTTTGGATACGAAACGCATGCAAACAACACTTTCAGCTCTTGGAGAACAGACCAACACCTACGTCCTCATCCCAAGCTACAAGCATTCACATTAATTACGGACTGTTCGGTTTATTGCCGAACAAATTTAGGTGTATGACTGAAAACCCTCAGGATGAGAGGGCATCCGATGAAACCCGAATTGTCTTTGTTTCTCTGTGGTACTGTCGTGACTGACATTCGGTTTCGAGTGTTTCTCTTTTGTTAGCTGTACGCAGAGAGTGCACCGGGATTCAGCTAAATGGCTAAAAACATGGCTTCGATGTATCGTTGAATAAAGGTCTTGCGAAAATTAATATAGGAACCGGAAACGTGTGATTTTTCTGTTAATCTTTGCTTCCGGGGTCAAATGCTGATTATTCGAATAAAGTCAATGATCCATTACATTCAAAACAGCAGTTTCATGATGATGCAACCTGTCCATCAGAGTAACCGTGGAAACAGATTGATTTACGTGACTGGATTTGTCTTGTTTTTATATCATTTGACCAAGCTGTTCAGATAGCACAGTATATTGACCGCGTTCCACATCATTCGTGCACTCCAAAGCTTTCATTACTTTTGTAAGTTCGATACTTCACGACTGTTGTAATCGATTTCGCCCCGCTCTATATCACTAATCGTCCACAATACCCTTATTACGGCCACCATTCTAGTCTGTCCAAGAAGCCCGTATCACTTACAATCCGCACACACGTTATACCATGGATACATTACGTGTGGGCTGGGAGCAGTTGCGGACCAATCTGAAACGTGCGCAAAATGAAATTGAAAACCAAATTCTGGCCCGGGATTCCCGTGGCGTATCTGAGAAGCAGATTGACGAGTGTCGTCGCTGTTTCAATCACTTTGATCGTCAACGAACACGACGTTTGGACCCGTTGGATTTCCGTGCTTGCCTGGTCTCTTTGGGTTACAATATTCCGAAGACTCCACAAGTATGTGGTTTTGTGTTGATCAATTTATCACACGATTTCTTCGCTCAAATCAGAGTGATTTGGTAGTCGACGGTTTACACTCCTCAATTATCATCCATTGTATCAATAAATTTGGTGTTGAAAACTTAATGGAGCAAACGTTGAAGTGATTGTTAAGAAATGCCTTCCAGTTCCTAAAAAAGCTCCTAAACAATAATTTTGCTTTCCCAATTTAAAAAGTTTTCATCTGAAATCGAATAATGTTCAATGGTTGATCGGTTCAAATAAAATGAATTAGAGCAATCTCTTGTGAACCGAACAAGAATCGAACTTGTTGAGATTGAAACACAGTCCTGGTGAATCGGTCTGCTTACATGGATCGTGTTTTCTCTGACCATTGGGATTGTCATACTAGAGGTGTAATTAGAATCACTATGGTCAATAGTTTGTGTGAACGGAGGGAAACAAGGCAAGAGAGATAGAGATATTGATTCAACTAACGGTATAGTGAACGCTCTTTTGAATCAAATTCAAATGATAGAAAAAAGGTTAGTTTGCAAGTATCTTTTCGGATTGAGCATACCAGCCCTAGATAATTATTAGAGAATCAGACGAACACAGGAATTTCACTTTTTGGACCGAACAGCAGATTGATTGCGTGCACGTTCCTGTTTTATCGGTTGCGAATTTCAGTCATCAATCATAATTCTTTTCCAAACTAAAACGGATCTGGAAATACACTTTCCTGATCGATAACCAGTTCAAAAAAAAAATTAAATCAGTCTGGTGCAACAGCTCGAAATAACCCATCGATCCAATGTCCTATCCGATACAGATCATGACTAGTTCCATGGAGAAATACCAAAAAATTGACTGAAACATACTGATTATGTTAGATGAGAATAAGGTCATACGTGTGACTGGTCAGATTGTGTTTAGTCAACACCATGTCACCAATAATGCAACGGAGTGAGGGGAAGTTTACCATTGTATTACGAAGCCCAGTACATCCAACGGTAGTGATGGATTTGGGTGTGCATGTTTGTGTGCGCTATATCTGATGTAGAGATGCCGCGAGAGCTCTGAAAACCAGACCGGATTGCCTAATTCGTCTGCGCATCGACCTTCGAATCTCGGATTCCACTTGAACGGACTATTCGAACCTACATCAACTCGGCCTGAATTGGTTAGTTCTCAGTTACATTCAGACACTCTTCAGACAGCGATGAATTTCATTTTTTGTTTAGCGAGATTTATCCGAGTTATAAGTACAACCAATGCAAACCATTATGTTTCCCCTTTTTGTCCTCTTTTCAAAATCTCCACGTAACATAACATGTTTATACTGTTACCAGTTCCCGTCTCAGTTGACCGTATACGTTTTATTGTGAAAAATATTAATTACGCTAGCAGCTATCCGCTACCGTTTCTTGATTGATTGATTG